TAGTGTCAATTTTGTTCGTGAGTTGAGTTTTATTGTGGGGAATGTTGGAGAGTTTTTCAACTATAGCTGGTGAGAATTTATTGGTGTGAATAAAGGAATGTTTTAAGTGGTTAATTTCTTCATTTATGTAGTCCGTTGAACAGAGTCTAGTGGCTGTGTTTATGAGGTTTTTAAGTGTATTGATTTTTTGTGTGGTGTAATGAGCGGAATTCTAGGGGATGTAGAGACCAGTGTGTGTGTTTTTGCAAAAAACAGTGTCTCATTTTCAGTCTCTCATTGCAAAATCTGCATGTCTAGCCAAGTAGCCCCACTTTGCAACTCCTTCCTACACCACTGTTTGGGCTATGTGTGACCTGTCCACTGAGGGAATCAAAACTTGATTTTAACATCATAAGCTGTTTTTTTTTTCAAATGTGCTTTGCTTTGATGATCTGCAGAGAAAAGTTCATGGTCTTGGATTCACTTCTCATTAACACTAAACTAGCTTGTTCTATCTTTGTTAAGGTAAAGCTATAAATCCTATCTGCCACTGTCACTGATATTGAACTGTTGACTGGATAAAAGGCAGATGGCTAGCAGCACCTGCCACACAGTTTTTTAGGAGCCTTGTAAAAATATACTAATGAAGATGTTGATTAATTGATTAGCAAATACCTTTAATTGTCCAGTTTTAATAACAGCAAATCATTTATATGTGGACTCAACATTACCAGTTGCCAAAAAAAAGTGACAAAAAACATTTTTGTGACCCAACCTTTACCAGATAGTTGTGAAACTGAATTTATATTAAATTGTGTTAAGAGATTTAAAGACAGACACATTCTATTGTAATTTTTACAAATTAGCAAGTTACAATATTCTACCTAAGTTTAAATTTCTAGCTAGTGTTCTTATATGTACATTAGGAATTACCTAATAAAGACTGGTTTGTGAATGTAATTATCCAACAAAACAAAAGTTGTGAAATTTTAGTAATTCAGCATCAAGAGAGATTCTTTTACAACATACTTAATTGAGTAAAGCAATCAAGAAGTTGGCTATAGCCGTATTATGTCAATAAGTTACTCTCTAATGTTCTATATCTCTATTTTGTGCTCTTTCAACAATCATGGGATCATGAAAAGGGTATCTTATATACCCAAATTACATGATTATTAGAACACAATAGGATTACTGTATTGATGTGTTTTTTAGCTAATGTACAATATGCTCTACTATAAAACTTCAGGTACTTCTTGAAAATAAAACTATTGAACTTAAAGATTTATTCTGAAACCTCAAAGAAGCTTAGTAAAAAAAAATGGGGCTGTAGTTGTTAATATTTGAAGCCTCTTGACATCAGAAAAATTCAACTCCTCATGGCTAGGAGATTGCCAATGTGATCATCATTTTTAAAGAGGAAGGATTTGGGAAACTATATACCTATTATGCAGACTTTTTTTTATTGTTAGCAAATACATGCATTGTAATCATTGTCAGAAGTCATTCAGAAAAAGGCATCTGGAAATTTGGCTTTTAATTAATGATTCTCAGAAAACTTTTAAAAATGTTTTTTTACCTTATCAATTTATTGGAATTTGTTTATAGAGCCTTCACCTTCTATAAATGTACTAGTTGTTGTGGTTTATCTTGACTTAAAAAAAAACCTTTCATAAGGTGATTCACAAGAGATTGATTACCAAGTTGGAAGCTTATAGGTCTGGTGGAAAAGGTAAGAAGCAAAGAGAAAACTGAGTTACAGGTAGAAAGCAAAGAGTGATAGTAAACAGGCAATTTTCTTAATGTGAGAATGCAATTAGTAATCTTTCAGGGGTCTGTTAGAAGAAATTTAATGTTTATTATTTATACACTGGATGTCGCTTATTGTGAACACTTCAGGACACAGTTGCATTGATAACAATAACCAAATGATAACATTAACTGATGAAATAAAGATTCAGCAGTTACAGTAATGTTTATTGATATAGAATAGCAAACATATTACTTAAAAAGTTTGAAAGTTGGATATTTACATTTATTGGCATATTTAAAACAATTAAAACAAGAATTTAAAAAAATTCATTTAAAGTTGACTGCCTAGTATTTTTTTTTTGGAGCAATTCATTAATAAAACTTTCATATTCATACTGTTTATGAAACTCATCTGATCTGTGTTGTATGCCACTTTCTGCCACATTATTGGTCTGTTTATGAGCATCTTGTTCACAAACATTAGTAAACCAAAGTTTTAATCCTGATTCAACCTAGTTATCTCTTCCACTGCACTTTCTCTTAAAGTTTAGGTTTTCATTCTGTTTTGCTCCCCTCTCAATGTCAGCTCAATTTTTTAAAACTTTACACAAAAGAGGTTGGGAAATTTTTAATTGCACTGCTGCATTACATTGCCCCATTTTTGGTAACTTATCATAGCATTCTAAAATGACAACTTTTTTTAAGGGTTAGACCTTTATGTTTCTTATGCACTTCTTCCATTATTAAGGATGGTTAATAAGAATTGTAATTTGTGGAAGCACCGTCTTCCATGGAGGAACGAAAACAACTATACTGTAATTATGGAAATGAAATGCAAGAGCGTAGGAGATCTTAATGACAACTTAGCCATGCCCTATTTTATGGTGAACCTTTCTCATGCCAATTGACCTTGAAATGCCTGAGATGATTAAAAGAGAAAAAAAACAAAACGAAGTGCTGATTACAATAAACGATGTTTTCCCTATGTATTTTTTTATGTTTCGTTAGGACTGATAACATTATCCATAATCACAATAAGTGTCATTCAGTGTATTAATGGCTCTTTAAACAGAAGTATCTTTACATTTACTGATGACAGAAGTACAATTTGCTTTTCTGTTCAGAATGTTTCTCTTCCTCATATGGATGTTGATAATCTTAATAAATGGATCAGATGATGAATATGAGTTATAATATTGAAAAGTCAAACATGGAAATTTAGAAAGGATTTAAATATACAACTTATGTAAGAATAGCAAAATCTTGTGGGGGAAAACAAAGAAAGGATTTGGGTGTAATTATTATTAAAACATGAAAACCCTTTGTTCATGTTCAATTGTAGTTAAAAGAACAAACAGAATCTTTGTCTTTATCTTAAAAAATGTTGAAGCCTTGCAAGAAAAGTGAATAAATCACTACAAGAATATCAATATAATGAAAGTTGCACAAAGACAAACTACTAGAATGCTCCCTGGATAAGACCTTAAGCCTGTTTTCTTTAGAGTCCAGAAGAATTAAGGAACTTGATTTAGATGTCCCAGATTGTCAGAAATTTATATGTTCTTCTTATGTGTTGTTTATTATAGTGAAATATTTGGTTAAAAATACTGACATGAATATTAGAGGTAACAGGTTAAACCCTTGGTGGTCTAGGTTCAGACTTGCCCTTCAACATTCCTTCCTCATTAGGAGGTCTAATGTTGTAGAATTCTACAGACTAAAGAGTGAAAGTAAAGAATAATTTATAACAATATTTCAACCATGCCACATTTGGCACATCCAGTGCTGACAAGGCAATTTGCCCAATTCCCTCATCAGAATGACCAAGACACAACAGACATAACAGTGGTTAAGGTACTATTTATATTATAAAATTGGTATGTCTATAGAAGTGGTTTATACCATCAGTCTGATTTATTTCAAATTTTGTTTTATAAGAAATGGATGTGAAAGACTATAATTATGGACAATTAAATTAATATTACTTTTTGATCTTATATACACAAGCCAATTACTGTATACATTCATATGGATCCTACCAATTGCTTGATGTATAATAAAACTAAAAGCCTATTTGAGTGGAGTTAAATTCTACCACCAGTTTGCCATCTGAACCTAGATATTCAATGAAATATATATAAAAGCAATGAAAAACTCATCAAACCTGGCTTTAAGTA